GGAGCGGGGGGGGGGGGGCCATGAGGGGATTAACGCCCTTGTGAAAAGAGACACAAGATCTTTCTTGGCCATGTGAGGATACAGCAAGAAGGAGAAGGCAGCCATCTGACACCAGGAAGAGGGCTCTCACCAGGAACCCTACCTGATCTCAAACTTCCAGCCTCCAGAACTGCGAGAAACAAATGTGTGTTAAGCCACTCAGTCCGTAGTATTCTGTTATAGCAGCCCAAACTAAGACAGTATCCTCAGGTCCTTACGCGTGGTAGGTGCCCAATAAATTCTGTTAAACCAAATAAGACTCAATTGCTTTAGCATGAATGACTACTTTGAAAAGTTTAAAAAAGGTTGCACGGACAGGGCCTTGGTGGAAAAGGAAAAAGGCGTGTTTGTCTAGGGACATCTTTACTGTCATAGCCATTCATGCTAGAAACCCTCTGGGAAGTCGAAATGCAGCTCTTCGGAGCAGAGCAGAGTCCTCTGTCTCCAGAAGAAAAACCCCCATGTGCCTCGTCCCACACACATACCCCCCTTTTCTCCACAAGACCTGTCCGGGGAGTCTATTTAGCATGTCTGAGGGCTTCTCTTCTCCTCTGCATCTAGGGTGCAAACGATTTCCTCAACACTCTTTTGAACCTGTTCTCACCGTGGGAGACTGTGGCAGTATTTGCCTCTGGAGATGCAACCGAATATTCTGATTTTGAGGTTTTCAGGTGATTTTAAGCTGAAGGCCAGATGATATCTATGCCTCAGCCAGTATCCACCAACAGGCCAAATTATGTCTCTGCTGCCTGAAGAGAATGTGTTCACATTCCTGTTCTCATCTGAACGGTTTATTACTGTGTTTTCATTGGGGATTTTTTGCTCTACACCTGGAGGGAGAGGACCTAGTTTTCAAATCTGGCTCTGCCCCCCTAGCTATAGAACTTGAGCAAATTATTTAATTTATCTAAACTTCATTTTCCCCATCTATAAGCCCACACAGTCGGTAAAAAGTTCATGTAACTCTATGTATGTGAAAGCCTTAGTAAACTATGCACAAAGTTATGTACACATTGTTCGTTTTAGTCTCAGCAACAAAAGAAAATATGAGAATAAATGCCATATAGTATCTCAAAATTTGATCCAGCAATTCCACTTCTAGGAACCTATCCCACAAAAGTGCTGTGCTGTGCGAAAGGATGTATGTGGGAGGAATTTCACTGCAGCGGGTTGAAGTGGAGATAATCTAAATGTTGTCAATAGAGGATTGGGTAGATAAATTATGATGCATAAATTCTATGCAACACTGTGCAACAGTAAAAATAATAAGAAAAAGTAAATGAAAAACGCTGACAGTTGTTATAGCGATGCATCAATGTCAACTTATATAAATTAACAGGTGTGGTTATCACATCATTAGATACTTGAGCGCTTATTAGCTACTTGAGTCAAGAGTGATCGTGGAAAAACACATCCAGCTAAACCTTAGGGAAATAATCTAAGCTTTAAACAAAATGGAATCATCTCATATAATAGTTGCATTTTCATTTACTATATCCTGGACATCTCCTTATGTCAGTCCTCTTTTACTTTTATAATTTTTTAAAATTTACATAATAAAACATAGGCCATGGATTACAAAGATCGTTCTCTGGGTTAACTATTGAGAAAAGAAAGGAATTTGTAGGTAGCTTAAGTGTGTTTTCAGGAAGACAAACCCATAATATTCTAGTCGTGTAAGAGCAGCCTCTTGATACGAGTGGCAACAGCCCTAAACCAAGAGTCAGGTGTCCAGCACGCTCATCCCAGCTCTGCTGTTAACTTACAACATCACATCAACCAAATCACTTATCTGGGCCCCGGTTTCCACATCCAGGAAATGAGAGTGTTAGAGTACACGTTCTCTCAGGTCCCTTCAAGCTGAAAATTCGGTGGTTCTATGAAATCGCTTTTCAAAGATTCAATAAAAGATGTTTATATATAATCATAGTCTCTGGTCGTTTCTGACACGACCAGGAAGACTTTAAGAAGGGCTTAAGTAGTCAGCTTACACGCAGAGCAGTCCGCCAAGAATTTTTTTGTATTTAAACAAAGAGCTTCCTGCCCTCAAGCAACCTATAATTTTAAAAAGAAAATAAGACAGTTGAATTAATAGAAATACAGGAGTCCCAAGTTTTATAAAAAGAATGGACAAAGTGAGATTGCTGGGGTAGATCAGTGGAACTCAAATTTACATCCCTAGAAACCCCAGGGCTCCCCAGAGGGGCTCCAAAGCTGCTTGCTTCAAGGATGGGGCAAGAGGCCAAAGAGTGAGCGCTGCCGCCTCCCATCCCTGGTTTAACTGGAGTAGCTCTGCCTTCCTCTGCCTCCTGCACCTAAGAAATCTGAGACAGACTTCTAAAGAAATAGTGCTGCCGCAATCAAGTCATGAAAACCACTGGCCTAGATGATTTCTAAGGCCAGTTCCGTCTTTAAGGTTCCACAATCTTATGATTCTAAGATGTACGTAAAATAAGTTTTGTATTTTGCATTCAGTTTTGCATGTACATAGGAAATTAACTCCATAAAGGTTAATTCTCTTATAAAACAAACAATTATTTTGTAATATGAATAACAAACCCTAGGTGTATCTGTTGGACACACTCAGATTTTCCTGTCCCGAATTTTCTGAAAATGAGCCATGGTTGTAATTTCAAAAAAGTTGGATGAGGCAGGCAAAGGGGTCATAAAAAAGATTCACAAGATCCCTGGGACACCGTGGAGAAGCTGTTGGTTTCATCAGTGAGACAAAAGATATGGAACTGGAACTAGAATTCCTGGGCTCTACCATTAGGTAATTTCTGTTTCAGAGAACACAAGTGGGTGGGTGACATGGTTTTAGGAGTCACGTGTGGGAGTTGCCGCAATTGCTAAGTGCTTTCATTTGATCCTCCCCACTTCATGAGGCAGGCATTATTTTCTTCACCTTTTACAAACAAGAAAACTGGAACCAAGGATGGTAAGTACCTTGTTCAAGGTCAGAGAGCCAGGGGTTAAACCCAGAGAATGTGACAGCAAAGCCCATGTTCTCAGCCACCACAACCTCTATTCCATGTTGCTATTGGTGTCCCGGAGACGCTCAGCCGGCAGCTTGCCCTCCAACCATCAGAGGAGTTAAATGGGACTCTGCCTCCAATTCCTCTGTAAATTTATTTTGCCTTATTATCTAATCACAAAGAAATGTATTACTTCTTTTGATAAAGTATTTTCCCTTTAACTAGAAACAATTCCTTGACCTAGTGGAGCCATTTCCAATGGTGAATGCACTGTGCTGGCATATAGAGGCAGGGGGGAGCTGGGAAATAGTTGGCAGGAGGGTTTAAGAACTCCTGTTTAAGAATCCTAAAACCATGTCACCCACCCACTTGTGAAGAAGAGTCATAGAATTAAAATGGCAAAGCACACAGATGCTAACACTGAGAGCATGTGTGGGCTCTACCCTGGCCAAATGAGTTGACCCAAAAAGATGAACTTTGACCTGCCTCAGGAGCTTGGGGTTCTCCCACTGACCTTCAATCCAGGTTAGGGTCACCTACATGACAGACTCCTCCAGGGAGAAAGGAGCCAGTACTGTATTCTATTGGCATGAGGCTAGGCTGTCAGTGAAGGCAGGGGTTTCAATAAGTCCCTTTTGCTGTACAAATGAAGAAACTAGCCAGGCAGACAGGTGACCTGTTCAAGACCATGAAGCCAGAGCCAGAATTAGAACTAAATACTTTGTTTTCTCGAGCTAATATATGGGAATCTTGCTTTTCAACTTATTTAAAAAATTGTATACGTGTTAGCTATTGTTAAGCCTGTTATTTGCCACAGGGCCCAGCAACCCAAAGGCTCTAACCCAAAGGAATTGTGCCTAAGCCTTCTGGATAGAGCAGACAGCATCATCCAAATCTCAGGAAAGTGCATTTAATTAGTGGAACCTAATTCACATCCAGAATCCTAGCTGGAAAACGTAATATTTATCTTTCCAGCCTCTGAAGTACCAAAAAAGCACATTAGAAACTGTGGGAATGGATACCAAATGCTAATTGATCTTATCCAGTACATCAGATATCATATTTTTTAGAAACTTCTTAAACCTTTGACAAATTGGTATCTTAATATCTATTTATTTGATTATTGGTAAAGATTAACTTTTAAAAATGCATCTATTGGCCTTTTCATTTTACTTCTTTCATAAATTACTAGCTCTATTCCTTACCTATTCATCCTTTTTTTTTCTTATAGATTTGTAAGAACTCTTTATATATTAAGGGTATTAACCCATTAACCAAAAATCATTTTCAAAATGTCAGATTTTGCCACGGGTGAGCCCTGACCTGATTAACCCAGCTGACGATTCCTTCTCTTGTTGTTTCCTCTATACTTATCAATTTGGTTTGTTCCACAAATATTCAGCTTTATTCTGTGTGCACATGCCTTTTTCTTTTAATCCCCCATACTCCCAGCAGCAGAATTGGGTTTGTCTGTCAGGGAGATAGGACCACTAGAGAGCTCTGCAGATGTCAAGGACAGACAAATACCAGTGGTCTGGGATCTGGAGATGAAAGTGCAGGTGCCAGAAAGTGGGTGGTCTCCTTTGTTCAAGAGTATGATGAAGGTCTAAACGCCCCGTCAAGTCAGTTAGCAAGATGGGGTAGAGGAACCCGATCAGATGACAGGAGTCTGCTGTTCAGGAAGACATTTATAGTCACATCACAAGTTAACAAAACACATCTTAAATGGCCTTGATCTTCATTTACACTTCCTGCCTTCATAGGAGGATGTGGTCTCAGGAGCTAGCACCACAGACATGAATAAAATGGCTTTAGCTGCTTAAGGAAGTACTAGATAAAGTAGCTGCTGCATTTAAGCCCTTAACTGCTGTTATAGATATTAATTGTGTCCTAGGTCTTCCCAAATATACTTACTGCAGTTGGGCAGATTCTGTAAATAGCTTACCCAATACTGACCCTTCTTTCTTTCTGGCAGAGCTGCCTCTCATGATAGAGGCTGAAAATGCCAGATTCTTGCTTTCTTAGGTTCCCTTGCAGCTAAAGATGGCCACATGACCCAGTTCTGGCCAATGACAGGTAAGAGGAAGACCACACAGAGAGAAGTCTGGAGAAATTTTTATTCTAATTAAAAGGACGAGTATGCATGAGGCTCCTGCCCTTTCCTCCATGTGTATGTACATAGTGTGTGAGGACATGATTTCTTCAACAATGGCAACCACGCAGCCACAAGGCTAAAGACCAAGAGCTAATGCTGAGGGTAAAGAACCACAGGGATGAAAGGATCCTGGTCAGTTGTAGTATTTTTCAGCTGAGGAGCCAAAATAGGACCTCTACACTCCTTATTCAGTGAGACGGTAAGAACTGCTATTGAGGCTTTCCGTTAAGTATTCTTGTTACCTGCCTCTGAAAGCATTTTGATGCATTCAAAATACAAAATGATACAGAAACTGGGATTGTAAGTATATAAAATATGTTAGAGTGTAGATAAGGACCGGAGGGTACAATGACTGATACCAGGATGTTCTGTAGAGAGGTCTTGGAGAAAAGGAGGAGCAGGTCTCACTCCTGGATATTTAATCACCTGAGGTAGGCTTGCTACTAAAAAAAAAACAGGGTCTGGCCCGGTGTCCAAGTGGTTAAGTTCGCACGCTCCACTTCGGTGGCCCAGGTTTTCACCAGTTGGAATCCTGGGCGCGGACATGGCACTGCTCATCAGGCCATGCTGAGGCAGTATCCCACACAGCACAACCAGAGGCACTCACAACTAGAATATACAACTATGTACTGGGGGGCTTTGGGGAGAAGAAGAGGAAGAAGAAAAAGAAGATTGGCAACAGATGTTAGCTTAGGTGCCAATCTTTAAAAGAAAAAAATTGGTATTGAAAGTAAAAAGCCCAGCAGGTGATTGTAATAGGTACAGATGTGAGAACCTCTGTTCTAGTCCAACTCTTTATTTTACAGATGGGGAAACTGAGAGTCAAGCAGTGTGACTGGTAGAAACCATATTATGCAAAGGTAAGCAAAGAGAGAATTGTGCAAAAATGTCTCAGGGTCACTTCTTCCCCTTATCTCGGCCCCTCAGTATTCCTCCCACTAGATATCCAGTGTCCTCATTCTAACTTCTGTCTGTACTGAGCCCCAAAACATTGCACCCCTTCAGTGTAAGGCCCTGTGTCCTTTCCTAGGCCCCTGTCCTGGTCAAACTCTCATCCCCTCAGGGACCTGCTGGGCAACTAGCAGACTAATGTTAAATGAATTCTAGCCAAGGTGTTAATGACAGATAATGGCTTAATGCATTATTTGTCCCAGATAACATTTCCATTTTAATAGAAGACTTTAAATGCCTTAACCCCAAAGAAACTGCCTGAAAAGTGCAGGGACGCAAATACCTGGCACTTTTGCCCCCTTCTCTGTCCCCAGAAGACTTCTCCAAATTGTCACACAGACCTTCCCTGCTAAGCTTGGGCACAGCCTGAGAAGCCCGCAGGGCTCTGAGCAGCCCCTACCAACCAGTGACAGGAGTTACCGTGTAAGACGAAATCTATTTGCCAAGCCTATCATTGAACAAATATTTGTCTGGGAGTAAGGAGACTTGAATCCTACTTTGGGGCTTTGATGTTATCTGGATATCCGGCCTTGAATAAACTATTAAACATTTCCGGGTGTCAGTTTCCTTAACCATATATCAGGAGGATTGGCATTAGAATCAGGCATCTCCAACGAAGGGTTCGGGATCTGCCAGAGACTCAAAGCCTGACCTGAGAGCTCTGCAAGCTGGGGGCTGCTACCACGTGCCTCTTTCCATTTTTGCACTGCTTCTGACCAGGGAGGGAAATTCACTTGAAATGGGCACCACCTTTCTAGCTCTATTGGGGGAATTTCCTGTCTCTAAAACGTCCTGAGGAAATAACCTAAACTAGCATTTGGGGCGACTGCTAAGAAGCCAAATCTTGTGACCCTTGGAGCCCAATCACGTGGTTCAGGAGCCCAAGACGGCCCGGTGGAGAGGCCGGAGGGGCAGAGCCTCTGCGAGATGTGTCAGGAATGGGTGTGACGGGTCCAGAAGACACATCAAGTGGAAAAAATCAGGTGTGCAGATAACATTTTGTAAAAGCCTTTCTAATTCTCAATGCTTCAGGAAGGAATCTCAGAGATTAAATTAAGCTGTTAACCCTCTAGGCGCTCCTGTCGTTTATTGTTAAGGAATTAATAGGAATGCGGGAATGCAGATGGCCTGGCTGTCAGCTCAGAGAGGCGATTTTTCTGATCTCCACGGACGTTCCCAGCATCTTTCATTAAGCGCTCATGTACCAATTTGTCATTTTAACCGAGCAGGAAAGAAACTCCCGCTGAACTCCCTTGCTCAGGTGCTGGGAGTTACATCCTCCCACGACGAGGCCTACAGGGCTGCATCCGCAGGGGAGGCTCCGGCTCCGGGCGATGGTGACTGGCCTCTGATGCGGGCGGGGTGGAGCGGAGCCAATTCGGGGAGGAAGTCGGATCCCCAAACCTGGCTGTCCTGGGCACAGGTTTCAGGGGACTGTACGCGAGCCCGCTCTAGCAATCTTAAACAGAGCAGAGATGTAAAGAAAGATTTCTTTCAACTTCCTCAAGCGCTCCGGGCGCAGGTAGCACGCTCAACGAGGGGAGGCGCCACCTACAGGAGAGAGGAAGACCTGCAGCCTGGTCTCGAAAATTCAACCGCTCGGAGGCAGGGACTGACTGGGCACCGCCCCTCCTCCTCGTCGGCCTAGCCCTTGACGTTTATCGAATGCTCTTCTCGTGCCAGACAGTGTCCTGAGCGCTTGACATGTATTAATTTTTTTAAAGGTCACAACTCTATGAGGTAGGTGTTATTCTTATCCCCCTTCTATAGAAGAGAAAACTACAGCTCTAAGAGCGTAACTTGCCCGAAGTCACACAATTAAGAAGTGGCGGACCGGTTTCCCAACCCTGAGAGTCTGGCTCAGAGCCTGGGTGCTCAACAAGCGTTACACTAAGGAGGGAGTGGTGGAATGGTTAGAGTCAGTCCCAGCTCCACTCATGATTCACAGTGTAACTCAGAGCCAAGTATTTAACTCAGTGGGTCCTCAATTCTGCATCTTGGGGTTCCCATATCTTTGAGACTCACCTGGAGAGAAAATGGTTGCTAAGGTAATTGTAGTCTTGTGCAATAATAATAATAATAATAATAAAAAGGTGGAGGAGTAGGGTTGGTAGAGATTGTGTAGCTCTTGTCTTCTTTAATTTATAGATGAGAATCAGAGAGATAAGGGACCCAACCATGGTTACAATCTCAGAGACAGGGCAAAAACTAGAACACAGGTCTCCTGACTCCCAGTCTTGTGCTTTCCCCCCATACAACACTCCCTCTTTAATCATCTACAGCCAGGACTGGTTCCACAATGTGGTTTCAGAGCTCCAGGTCCACCCTCCAACCAAAACATGCTTTTTGAGTTTTTAAACTTGTGGCTCTTACCTGAAATCCCACCATTAGTGACTCATTTCTTTCACTAAGGCTCTGATTCTACCTACTCAGAGACCTGTAAGGCTTTTACTGTTGGCCATAATTTCATGTGTATGTGATTGAGTTCTAAAGCAATGCTACTCGAAGTGTAGTCCATGGACAGCAGCATAAGCGTCATCAACATATTGTTAGTATTGCAAGTCGTGGGTTCTACCCCAGACCTACTGAGTCAGAAGGACCTTAGTCCTCAGACTTCAGTGTGTATGCTTAAGTTGTCACCTGAAGAGCTTATTAAAACAGTCTCCTGGGACAACACCTCCCCACCCCATCAGCAGAGATCCTAATTCAGCAAGTCTGGAGGAGGGGCCCAATAATTTGCATTTCTAACAAGTTCTCAGGTGATGCAGACAGTCTAGGGACTATACACTGAGTAGCACCCAAACAGTTCCTGATAGCAGATACTGAGACGGGAGAATAAGTACCCTGGAGTACAAAGAGAGAGAAAGGTTATTGCCAAGGATGAAAAGCATACAGAATATGGAACCTTGGAGTCAAAACCTGCTGAGGGTGTGGGTTCACAATTGTGCCTGTGTCTTTCCACTTGATAAGTTCAAACACTGAAGCCATTAAGTGATGTAATACAATGTATAAATGTTTGTAAGCTGAATTTATCTAGCCGTGGTAAAATTTGCTCTTGCCTCACCCTTTGCTGAGCCCTGCCTGTCTCAGACACAAATGGAAATCTTCCCAGTGCCCTCTGACCATCAGTTAGCTCTCCAATTTCATTCCAGAGTTAACTGCACGGCAGCAGCAGACAAAGCTGGCCCAGCGGCAGGAATACTGTTCCCCGGTGCTATCACAAGCGCTTCTGTATTTATGTCTGCTGTGTGACTGTCACTTGTATACAATCACAGAGAGACTCTGGTATTGACTTGGGCTGCAAATCACCCCCATGGCACAGCTCTGGTGGAAAAGGAAAAGGGGCTTCAGTGGCAACCAGATATCAAACACAAATTACATTGCCTTGTACCAAAATAGGCATCTTTAAGAAATCGTGTCTTCTGGTCCTCCTTTGCTGTACTTCAGGTAATATGGTACCCAGAGGAACCCAGACAGATAACAATCTCTCCTGTTTGTAAAGACCGTTTGTGAAGGAGACTCCATAACCTCCCCGTGGTGGAGTATATTATTGTTCAGCAAATATTCAGTCTTTTCTATGTCCTCCATGGGGGGATAAAACTTCCCCACTCCACTGACGATGGGTTTAGCCATGTGACTTGCTTTGATCAATGGGATGTAAGCAGAGGTTTTTAAATCTACTTGCTTGGCTTGGTTTGGCCTCTTCCATTTCTACCCTTAGCCATGGGAAGAGCATGGCCTCGTCACTTCGTCCCAGGTCCCAGAGTGAGAAGGTACACGGAGTGAATCTGAACAAGATCCACAACCCAGGACAGGGGCACTGCAGCCAATACACAAACCTGTAAGCAAGAAAGAGATGGTGTAACCTCTGAGATTTTAGGTTATTTGTTACATAGCACTGTTGTAGTAAGGTTGACTGATACATTCCCTCCAGCACCCATCCTACTGAAGTTTTGCCAGGACGTTTTTCACTGTGTCTGATTCAGATCCCTCATACGTTAAGGGAAAGATCCATTTCATCTGTGGTCCAAACAAGGGGTCACAAGATTACATCCTTGACTCTGACTGTCCAAGAAATGTAGACATTTGTTTGTTTAGTATGTTGATTTGTTTAATACCTTGATTTGTTTAGTATCTATTTAGGCTAAGAAAATAGACATGCACTCAGGGAATCATTTGTTCTATGAAGTATCGCTTATGCTTGTACTTATTGGAGCTGTTAGAGGTTGTGTCCCCAAGAAGTGGTCGTATCCTTCAGGAATCAGAGAATTAGCAACGGGAGAGGTGAGAGTTTAGAGACCTGATTAAAATATTGTTTATTGTTGTTGTTAGTGCCGTGGAGCTCAACACTGGCTCCTAATGACCGCGTATATAGCAGAGCAGAACCCTGATCTGGGCCACCGTGGTGAGAGTGCCAAATCTTAACCTCTAGACCACCAGGGTTGGCTTAATCCCTTATTCTCTCTCGGTTCTTTCTTAGCACTATCACAGTTTGCAATTATTTTATTTATTTGCCTGTTTTCTTGTCTTCTCTTTTCTTTCTTCTTCTTTTTTTTTTTTTTTGGTGAGAAAGATTGGCCCTGAGCTAACATCTCTTGCCAATCTTCCTGTTTTTGCTGGAGGGGGATTGTCACTTGAGCTAACATCTGTGCCAGTCTTCCTCTATTTTATACATGGGACGTTGCCACAGCGTGGCTTAATGAGTGGTATGTAGGTCCACACCCAGGATCCTAGCCTGCAAACCCCAGGCTGCCAAAGTGGAGCATAGGAACTTAACCACTATGCCACCAGGCCAGCCCCTACCTGTTTTCTTTTTTTATTTGTCTCCCCCACTAGAAAGTGTTCCCATATGGGCAGGGACAATGCTTGTCATGTTTACTGCTTTATCCTCCAGTACTCAGCAGACTCTGGCATGTAGCAGTAGCTCAAAAGATATTTGTTGAATAAATAAATGAATTCCAATAAGGCATGTCGTTAGACCAGATAAGGGGAAACACTGAAAAAAGCAGCAGATTTGCAATCTGAAAATCTGGCTCCATAATTATGTGATATTAGACTGTTCAATGGGTACTAAATTAAGATAAACTTTGAGTAACAATAATAATAAGTCAATGGGGAGTCACCGAAGAATTCTGAGCTGGGGAAGGACATGACCAAGAGAGTGTCCTGGGATGATGTATCTAACTGCTGTGTTCAGGGGTGGTTTTGCAGAGAGAGACCAATTAGGTGGCAATTTTGAAGTGAGGTGGTAAGGGCCTGAAGTGTGGAGTGGCAGTGGAAGTTAAGCAGAGTGAGACTGGGGTGGAAGATTCAATAATCCCGTCACCGGATGGAGAAAGGAGGCAGCAGAGACGGAATGTCTAAGGTCACACCATGGTTCTATACCTGTAGAGCTGAAAGAATATTAACAGAGATGGAAATTTGGAGAAGAGGCCAAATGTTTTGGTGAGATGAGAAGTTAATTTAGATAAATAGAATTGTAGACAATGGCTGGTTATCAAGTGAAAACACCTTGCCCCCAGTTAGAAAGTCAGGACTGCATCTTGAGAGAGAGGTCAGAGCTGGAGCACCGCGTGCAGACACGAGACTGAGGAGGTGCCTGGTCTTGGAAGAGAAAAGCCAAACACTGAAGCCAGGCTTGCAGCCTCCCTAGTTGGAAGGGGCAAGAGGGGGAAGAGTGGCTGGTAAAAGGGATAGAGCAGGCAGGATCAGCAAAGGGTCTCAGAAGCAAAAAAGAAAAAAGAAAAAGGGAGAATTGTGATATTCAGCCCTGTCTCTTATAGGAACAGTGTTGGCTGTCAGACTTCAAGAGGCCTCCTTTGGGAGTGGAGGGGAACATCCTTTAACCTGACTCCCTGACCTCTAACCACCTGGGTGGCTGGGGGCCCCAAAGCTTTGTAAGCCTTTGAAGAAAAACCCAGGGCAGGGAAAATAGAGAAGTGTAATCAATAACAGCAAGCCTTGTTTCTTTCCAGTTCATATGCAGGAAGCAATCCAGGCCTGTAGCTGGTGCTATGATGGGTATATTCTGGATGTTCAAAAGGTCATCTGGCATGGAGACAGGCTAAATTATGGCTGGAGTGTATGAATCTGAGGAGGTTCTCCATTAACATTTATTAGGAATTGTCATCGCTTCAACCTGAATGGGCCCCAGATGTGGAAACCCGGCTGCCCCCGACTTCTCTTCCGGGCTGCAGTCTCTCCTCTGATTTATTGTTATTAAACATGACCAGATTTTGTAGAGGGGAAAATTGAAGAAAGCAACACACACATGGGGAACTGTTGGGTAGAGGCTGCCAAGAGAAACAAACCTTTTTATTATTTCTGGTGGCAGTGGGAACACATGGAGATGCAAACCATTGTTACGAGATCCCATAGTACCTCTTTCCTAAATCAAAAAGACGCAAGCCTGAACTTCTGGGCAGTCCATTCAAAGGGTGGATGTCTTAACCCTGAGGGTGAGAGAGGGGCCATGGAAGGTAATGAGAAATGCTAAGAATAAAGAGACAGTGCTTAAAATTCTAGAAGCCAAGGGACCCTCTTTCTCAAAATATATTACCTTCCGGGGCAGATGACTTCCTGGGAGACAGTCACACCCACTGGATATTAGGTCATTTTTCTTATCAGTAGTAGTTACTCTCCCACTGTGTAACCATTGTGAGGGATTCCAAGAAGTCAAAGTTAGAGCCCCACCTTTTGGTAGATTGTAACCCATTTCATTAATTCACTCATTCAACATA